AAAAATGTCCCCATTTCCACTTCTACATTCTACATCCCTCAGACCAATTCCTTTGCCACTCTAAACCCAGACACCCCAATCTCAACCACAGCTCCTATCTCAACTACAGCCCCAACACCAACCCCTCTCCCTCCCCGCACTACCCGCAGTAGACAGACTAAACGTTCTAACCCTTCTTCCCCTACAGCACAATCACCTCCACCTACCTATACCTTTGTTCCTGAGACACCAGTCTCCTCTTCCCCCCTCATAAGAAAACCTTTATTCCACAAAACTCTCCAACCAATTCCATTGCAGAAACAATTACCTTCTCACAAAACTCTCCAACAAACTCCACTGCAGAAACAATGGATGACATTCAAAGCTATATGCTTGAGACACAAATCCCATAACTCATGCTCCTTCCACACTTGAAGTGGTTGCCGATATTCATAAACCTCCTACTAATATTCCCCCTACACCCCTTCCTCCTACTCCCCCCAACACAACCTAACCCCTCAATCCCAACCACCACTGATATCCATCCTCCCAATACCCATCCTCCTGATATGCATCCCCTCTTACTCACAACACCCCTACACCCTTTCCTCCTATCCCTCCCAAGACAACACATCCCCTTCAACTCCAACTATCCATCCTTCTGATATTCATCCTCCTAACACTAACACTCCCCACACATCTACTCCCTCCCAACACAACCCACCCCCTTCAACCCCAACTATAGGCACATTCTCCCTCCCTCCATCCCCTCTATCCTTTGCACTCCCTCCAGGATACACACGAGAATCACTCATGGCACAACAATGCCCTTCTCCAGACTCCCTACCCCTAATATCCCTCCTTTACACCCCCTAGCTCCTTCCCCTTCAAATTCCCCAACACGTAAATGTGTTATCATTCATAAATCAACTAGGGTATAGCTCTCCTACATTGGAATATTCGCGGTTTCCGCTCTCATAGATCAGACCTACGTCATATCCTTGCTTCTTATAATCCATCTATTATCTGCCTCCGAGAGACTTTCCTCACACACCCCTATTCCAATTCCTAACTACCATTTTATCTCTTCCCCACACTCCCTTTATGTCTCGTCTATACTTATCCATCATAAAACACCTTATGTCATACCTCCCATACAAACTTCGTCCCGTGCACAGCTATTCGCATCTTTCTTCGCTGCTGGATCACAGTGATTTCAGTCTACTTCTCCCCATCCCATCCCATTGACTTTACTGCCTTTGACACTCTAATTTCCCAACTCCAACCACCTTTCCTCATAGTTGGTGATTTCAACTGCCGCCACACTCTGTGGGGTGACTCTACCACCAACTCCCGAGGCCGATCTCTAGAACGCTTCCTCTTCACAAATAACCTAATTATTCTTAATTCAGATCGCCCCACACACTTTGACATGCGCACACAATCCTTTTCATGCCTTGACCTCTCTCTATGCTCTCCTACTTTACATCTAGATTTCCATTGGTCAGTTCTAGACCACTTCCCCTATAGTGACCACTTCCCAATACTCCTTTCTCCTACTTCATATGTACCACTTCCTAATCCTCCACGCTGGTGCTTCGATAGAGCTGACTGGCATACTTTCACTTCACTCTCTACTATACCTATCCCTCCACCCCCTTACTGTCCATTTCAGATATGCTACATTGTTTTACAACAACGATCCTAAGAGCTGCCTATACAGCCATTCCTCGAACTTCAAGACCCTATACTTCTAAATGTGTTCCATGGTGGAATTCTGATTGCTCCAAAGCGCTCCGCTTAAAACGAGCAGCCTGGAACAGCTATCGCTACAAACGAGGCACCCCTCACCAGCTATCAGCCCTTATTTCCTTTAAAAGAGCATCTGCCCATCTTCGCCGTACAATTAAAAACAGCAAAACAAATAGCTGGCAAAATTATGTTTCCTCAATTACATCTTCTACATCTATTTCAGCTGTTTGGCGACGGATCCATAAACTATCAGGCAAACATCCCCCCCATCCTGCACCCGTCCTCCATATTCGAGATATTCTCATCTCTGAGCCTGTAGAAGTAGCTAATGAACTGGGCAACTATTTCAGCCAGGTCAGTAGTGGCTCTCACCTTTCCCCACACTTTTCTTCCATTAAAACCATCAAGGAGCGCACCCCTATTACCTTCACCCTATCCTCTGATGAGTCCTATAATGCCCCTTTTTCTTCTTCTGAACTCAACGCTGCATTACAGTCGTGCCGCAACACTCATGAAAGCCCTGATGGCATTCACTATCGTATGCTCCGACACCTCCCATCTTCCTCTCTATCCTTCCTTTTAACTATTTTCAACCACATATGGACGACAGGAAATTTTCCTTCTCATTGGCGAGATGCTCTCATCCTACCTTTCTTAAAACCCAATAAATCAGGTACCCTACCCCAAGATTACCGCCCCATAGCTCTAACTAGCTGCTTGTGTAAACTACTAGAACGAATGGTTAACTTCCGTTTAATGTGGTACCTAGAATCTCATAATCTCCTTTCCCCCTTCCCAGTTTGGTTTCCGACGTGCCCGAAGTACAGCAGACCCACTTGCCCATTTTGAGACATACATTACATCGGCATTTGCACGCCATGAATCCGTATTAGCCATTTTCTTTGATCTAGAAAAAGCATATGACACCACATGGTGATACCATATCCTCCAACAATTGTCCTCCCTAGGTTTACGTGGAAACATGGGTGTTTTCATTAAATCCTTCCTTTCTAAACGTACTTTCCAGGTCAAGATTGCCTCTTCCACTTCATCATCCTTTCCTCAATTCGAAGGAGTCCCACAAGGAAGTGTGCTTAGTACCACTTTATTCCTTCTTGCTGTAAATGACATAGTCTCAGTCCTACCACCAGGAGCCAGAGCATCACTATATGTTGATGACTTAACCATCTATGCATCTGGCACATCCATACCAGATCTCTGTCAATTCCTTCAGTCTGCAATAACATCAGTAACTTCTTGGGCCACCAACCATGGCTTTCGCTTCTCTACCTCTAAATCTTTCCCCATCCTTTTCTCTCGCTTACGTACGGTCCCCAAACCCCCACTCTTCTTATATAATGCTCCACTCCAATACCGGTCTTCTGGCAAATTCCTAGGCGTTATATTTGATTCCAAATTGTCCTGGCGAGACCATATCTTGTATATCAAAGAAAAAGCTCAACGTCGCCTCCGAATCTTACAAACGCTTTCACATATCTCCTGGGGCTCAGATCGCAAAACTCTCCTCCATCTTCATGTTACTTGATTCTCTCCACTCTAGATTATGGATGCCATATCTACTCCTCTGCCTCAACCTCTCTTCTTGCTCACCTTGATACAGTCCACCACAGCGGTCTCCGCTTAGCCGTAGGCGCCTTCCGCTCCTCTCCAGTTGAGAGCCTATATACTGAATCAGGCATGCCGTCCCTCTCTCGACGTCGAGCCCTTCTCTCTCTCCGATGCTATGCTCGATTTCACCAATTTTCCCTTACCAAACTAACTATTCCACAATCCTTACTTCATACCTTTACCTCTTCTCCACGTTTACCAACTCCTCTCCCCGTACGCATGGATACCCTCCTCTCCCATTCCCCTTCCCTCATCTCCGACCTCTCCCACTGTCTGTCCATTCCATTCCTCCATGGCTTATACCTAACCCCTGTATTTGCTCCTCAGTTTTCCCTGACCACCAAAATCAGATATTCCCCCCTCTATCCTTCTCGCTCATTTCCTTGACCCATGTCTCCATTCATTCCTCCAGCATTCATGTTTACACTGACGGTTCCAAATCCATCTCAGGAGCTGGATTCGCAGTAACATTCCCAAATTGCACTTTCAAATACACCCTCCCTCCTGAATCTAGTGTCCTTACTACAGAACTATATGCACTCCTTTTTGCCTTAACGCATATATTCATCCACCTCTTCCTCTTTTACTATTTTTACCGACTCCCGTAATTCTTTAACCCTCATAAAGTCAATGCACTCGACCAATCCCCTTGTCTGTAAGATCCAGAACTGGTTGTTCTATCTATCCACACGTCACAAATCTGTCAGATTTTTGCTGGGTACCCAGCCATGTTGGAATCCCTGGCAATGAACAGGCAGATACTCTTGCACGATATGCCGCAATGTCCTCATCACCTCAACAACGCTTCTCACATATTCCAGCTACAGATTACTACCCCCACTTTAAGACTTTCTTGTATACCCGATGGCAATCTTTTTGGTCAAGACTCCACAACAATAAATTACATACCGTAAAACCATCAATCTCCTCTTGGTCAGCTCCATTTCACAAAAACAGACGTTGGGAGACTGCCCTCGCACGATTACGTATTGGCCACACTCGCCTAACACATGCCTATCTGATGTCACGCTCAGACCCGCCCCTATGTCCTCTATGTAACATCCCTATTTCAGTCCCACACATTCTCTTGTCCTGTCCACGTTTTAATACAGCACGTACCTCTGCTTTTCCACACCTATCCTCCCTTCACCGACCTCCCAACATATCAGACATCCTTACAGAATCTCACAGTTTCTGCCTCGACAACCTGTTCTCCTTCCTCAGACACATAAATATCCTTCACTTGATCTAACTCCCTTACCTAAACCACCATAATCTTTTCCCTCATCCTCAACCTCTCAACAATATTCTAGATAGTTGACACATTACAACTGTCACCTGACATCCCTCTTTACTATACTTTCCTATAGTGCTATATGACCTTAGATGTCTAGCACATTTATCTTAACCATTAACCATTAACCATTCCAATTTAATTTGTATTCTTTCCTTACATTTATTTCCATTTCCTTTATGTTGAAAGTAACGTGTATAATGGTAAATTAAATTAATTGACTAAAGATATTTTGCATGTTGAACTAATTCCATTAGAAGAGATTTTATACTAGTCTCTAGTTTATTGTAAGTGACAGGTTCAATGTGTATACATGTAAATCTAATTTATTTATCTTTACATACAGGTGTTGGGAAATCATCACTGGTCCATCTCATCTGTCATGGGCAGGCATTAAGTAATTCATCATGGACAATTGGATGTAGTGTTGAAGTCCGTGTCCATGAGTACCGTGAAGGAACCCCAAGTCAGAGACCTTATTTTGTTGAGCTGTGGGATGTAGGGGGGAGTAATTCGCACAAGAATGCAAGACATGTGTTCTACAACCCTGTGCATGGTTAGTATCCACATTGTTTTTTCTCTATATGATGGTAGCATTATTTATGTTTATGATGATACAAGAATATCTTTTTCATGTATAAACAGATTTTTTTTCTAGATGTTATTCATCTTCCCTGGTTTCTTTATCTAACATAAAGATAAAGAAGTGTACTATCTATAAGTACCTCCAAAATTATGTAAAGTAATGATAACTTTTGCATGATTTTCTTGTCATCTGTAATATGTTAGCATCGCATTTTAAAAGGAATGTTTTTAACCCACTGAATGCATCATTAAATTTTCTGTGAAATGCAGATTTTACATGTTAAGCTGATAATGGAATATTGGTGTTTAATTATATTTGATTCATTGTTGCTAGCACCAGATATAGATTTCCTCTTTTGTAGTACAAGGCTCAAGAAAAGATAAAAAATTATATTCAATGTCAAAAGAGATTTTTAGTACCATATTGCCTTATTTTATACTAGAATTACATCCCATGAACAGGATTGGTAGTCTACTGTCCTAAGGAATAGAAGAATAATAGTCTACTTACTGTAATTCTAGAATTCAATGTTACCAGATTTTTTCTCTTCATGTAACAAAATTAATAGGAACCTGTACATGGAATTTATAACCTTATAGCAGCTACAACCCACAAATTGCCAGATTGGACCATACCCTTGTCCACACTCACTCACCTGCAGGTCTTCTTGCGAGCCACTGACTGGCTCACATGGACATCTCACGGCTCTCTCATTGAACCATAGGCTCCCCTCTTTCTCAGATAGCTGGCAGAGCTTCATAGTATTTCAACGCCAAAATCTGGACTGAGATCAGCGTTGTCCCAAGATCATTCAGACTGACCACAGCCATGCGACAGCTGAGAAGGAGCCTCTCTGGATCCTCCATTGAACTCCATTTCATCTCCAAAAACTAGCCATACCTGTGGGAACTCAGACACACACAAAACCCTCCACAAAGAGATATAGACCAGTAGAAGTCATAGCTGTAATCCATCTACAACGCTGGTAACCCAGGATTGATACAATTATGGCTTATTGCTCGCTTGCTTAGCTCACTCACTGGTGGGGGTGCTGTAGCAGCCACGTCTCACAACCTGCAGTGCAGCATAACTGACAAGTTAGGTCACACCAGGTCCACAGCCCTGTACACTGCCGAGACCTGAATGGCTCACATGGACACCTCACGGCTCTCTCATTGGACTACAGGCTTTCCTTGTTCCCGGATAGTTGGCAGTGCTCCTGAGTATTTCAATTCCAAAATCCGGGCCAAGATCAGCCTTGTCTTAAGCAGCAGCTCCCCTGTTGAACTCCACCTCATCTCCAACAACCAGCCATACCTGTGGCAACTCACACCTACACAAACAACTCTACCAAAGGATATAGACCAGTACAAGTGATAGATGCAATCCATCTATGACAACCTCAAAACATTGTTCCCAGATACATGACTAAATATATAGTAAACCTCAAACCAACCAAATCGTTCTGTTCTTACAGGCATCATCCTGGTCCACGACTTGACCAACCGCAAGTCACAGCTGAACCTCCGCCGCTGGCTTTCGGAGGTCCTTATCAAGGAAGGTGGCGGAACAAAAGCACGAACTCCGCTGGTTGAGGAGTTTGATGCAGAACAGTTCGGGGGGTTTGCTCAGGTATATGGTGTGAAAAAGGTAGCTATTCTATGCTCATTTTTTTCCCGGTTTTCTCTCTCTTATCTCGCCCTCCTGGGAGCCTGGGGTATATGTATGTCTACGAGGGGTAAGCTTGAATTTTGTAGGTGGCGGATGTTGTTTTGCTTTTCATTAGTGTGTTTTGCTAGTGTTAAATGTTTGGATTTTTTTATTATTGTATACTAATATAACCTTATTGCTATTATTTGATAATTTTCTTTAGATTGATTTCCATAGTAGAATAGTATAGCTATATTGATGAAATAAAAAAATATTTATATTGCCATTGGTTTTATTGATATTGTATGATACTTATGTACATGTATGTGTGTGTGTGTGTGTGTGTGTGTGTGTGTGTGTTGTGTGTGTGTGTGTGTGTGTGTGTGTGTGTGTGTGTGTGTGTGTGTGTGTGTGTGTGTGTGTGTGTGTGTGTGTGTGTGTGTGTGTTTGTGTCACGTGGCCGAGTGGCGGCAGAGTGTAGTCAGGCTGCGTCAAGCAGAAATTTGTGAACTTGGAAGTGATGAAGGATCAGGAGACATCTTGGCAGAGTTTCAACAGGTTTATTGGTTGTACAGATATACAGGTGGTGGACAGAGATTTGGTCCGACCAGAATGGTGTAGACTCTCTCTCTGTCTCAGGCGACCCTCTTTTATACAGATCTAACCGAGGTATTTTATGGTGGGAACATCATGTAAGGATCAGAAGGAAAGAGAGAAAGAGGATGTGTTTGTGTAAACAGAGCGACGTCACAAGGCAGAAGGCCTACGAGTGTGGTCTGCATAAATGTACTGGCCAGTTATTTTAGTTGAATGGAGTAAAATTCTAAGTAAGCAATAGTAGGGAAACGGCAGAGGCCGAGGTATTTAGATACCCGAGGCATTAGGGTAGGCCTATGGTATTATGTGTGGAGGATAAGGTGTGCGAGAATGTAATAGGATAGAATAGGATGAAAATATCCTAATACAAGGATGACGTGTACCTTGCTGTGTGTGTGTGTGTGTGTGTGTGTGTGTGTGTGTGTGTGTGTGTGTGTGTGTGTGTGTGTGTGTGTGTGTGTGTGTGTGTGTGTGTGTGTGTGTGTGTGTGTGTCGTGTACACACCCGTGTATGTGCATATGAATATGTATGTATACATATACAATTACACACTTACACGCACACACACACACACACACACACATGCACACTTGCACAGACAAACACACACACAGATAAACAAACACACACAGACACACCGACATGCACAGACACACACATGAAGATTGCCATCCATGAGAAGAGAAGCTTGCATTGGGAAGAGACCACTATATTTTCAAATTATCTGGTTGTGTTATCACAAACACACACACGCACCCAATCACCCACCCTCCCACCCACCCACCCCACCCACCCACTTTATTAGTAGTAGTATTTTTTTCATATTTAAAAGAATTATGGTTGTTCTTATGTTATCAGTAGTAGCAGTAGCAGTAGTAGTAGTAGTAGTAGTAGTAGTAGTAGTAGTAGTAGTAGTAGTAGTAGTAGTAGTAGTAGTAGTAGTAGTAGTAGTAGTAGTAGTAGTAGTAGTAGTAGTAGTAGTAGTAGTAAAAGTAGAAGAAGAAATATTAGCAGTAGAAATAGTGATATTTGAAATAGTAGTAGTAGCAGTAGCAAAAGTTGGCCCTAGAATTGTAACTTGTAGCTATAGTCTTAGTCTTAGTCTCAGTCTTATTGGTAGCAGAGTTTTAGTCATAGATGTAGTTTTAGAAGAAGACGAAGAAGGAGAAGAAGAGAAAAAGAAAAAGAAAAAAGAAAAAAGAAAAGAAAAAGAAAAAAAGAAGAAGAAGAAGAAGAAGAAGAAGAAGAAGAAGAAGAAGAAGAAGAAGAAGAAGAAGAAGAAGAAGAAGAAGAAGAAGAAGAAGAAAAATAAATAAATGAATAAATAAATAAATAAATAAATAAATAAATAAATAAATAAATAAATAAATAAATAAATAATGAATAAATGAATAAATGAATGAATGAATGAATAAATAAATAAATTAAATAAATAAATAAATAAATAAATAAATACATACATACATACATACATACATACATACATACATACATACATACATACATACATACATACATACATACATACATACATACATACATACATAAATTTGCTGTCTTACAAATACTAAAAGTAAATCCATAATTACTGAATTTTGTTATTAAGGCCATTTACAGGAATTATTTAAATTGTTGCAGAATTATTATTATTTTTTTAATGACTGGTAGGAAAATATTTTATCTGTTTCCATCAGTAGTGTAGTAAGTGCAGTAATAAGCATGTTGGTCAGTGGCCCCTTATGAAAATATAGAATGAAGGGACTGTGTCATTGCAAGCTTCACAGAATGGTATAATAGTAATAATTAACAGAAATCATTGAATCAAAAATATAATTAAAGAAAAGTATAGTTAAATAAAAAGAATTTATAAGCCGTTATCATACATACTTAAGGCCCGTAAAGTAAACAAACAGAACACTGGACTGATTGTTACTGGGTCAGGGCTGTATTGAAAGTGGCTTTGTTGCCATATATAGCCTCAATAAAACTTAAAGCACGAAACTTCTATTTTTGTCTCAGTTTAATGGAAATAGAAAAATTCAGTTAAAGATTCATTAAAAATAACATGTAAAGACTATTTATTATAACATATTTGTTAGTTGATTATTATTTTAGTATGCGGTGGATGGAGTCATACACCTGGCAGTGAGTGTCTGGAGGGACTGCAGCCCAGAAGCTCCTATACACTAAATATGTAGATTATCCATAATTAAGAAATATTTCCTATGATTTTGATATTATAGTTTGTTAATAGAATGATACTGCATCATTTGTAATATGAGTGGCCAAATATGGTTGGATTTATTGTGAGAGGAACCACAAAATAAATGTGTTTTTATGTTTTTTTGTATTTACTTGTTTAATATTTTTGTTGGTGTTATTTTAATGGTAATGATGAAGATTGTTATTGTTATTGTTATGATTATTATTAATATTGTTATTATCATCATTGTTATTATTGTAATTATTTTTATTATTTTAATTATGATAATCACAAGCATCATCATCATTATTATTAATATTGTTTTATTATTATTATTATTATTGTTGTTGTTGTTGTTGATGTTGATGATGTTGATGTTGATGATGTTGATGTTGATGTGTGATGTTGATGTTGATGATGTTGATGTGATGTGATGATGATGATGATGATGATGTTGATGTTGATGATGTTGTTGATGATGTTGATGTTGATGTTAATGTTAATGTTAATGTTAATGTTAATGTTAATGATGTTGATGTTGTTGTTGTTGTTGTTGTTGTTGTTGTTGTTATTATTATTATTTAGTTTGTTTTTATTAGTATTATCATTTCTATTACTATTCATGTAGTTATAACTGCATTGGTAGTTCTGTAGTAGATTTGTCAGTGAATTATTGTCTGATTTTAGTATGGTACTATTGCATCTCTTTTGTTATAGTTGTATTTAGTGACTAACCTTATGGTTTAGTTTTCTGTGTAAAATGTTTAACTCTTGCATTTTTTTATGTTCCGTCAAATGATTTACTCTTCTTCAACATTTTTATTATTTCTATACTTATATAAATGTAGAAAGATTTTGGATGATCTGTTATATCATTTTATTAATCAGGACATTCAGGTTTACCTCCATGGATCTAGATACTTCACTAGCCCCACATAGGCCAAAATATGGGAACTGATCTTACTTGAGTGGTCACTCTGACAGATGTACTGGTTGTAGGCTGGGTACACATGATTACTCGAATGTGGTGACAAGACTCCATGCCTCCTCCTGGCATTGTTATTTTCTCTTTTTCTGCATAAGCATTTTTTTTTTGCCATTTTCTTATGTTTATATTAGTCATTTGATTTGCTTTATCCAGATAATAATAGACTGTTTTCCTTGCATAGATTCCTTATTATCTCTCTAAATAATCCGTAACTCAGTGCAATGATAAGAACAATATGTAATATTTTGCTATTTGTGTCATTTTATTTATTCTTATTTTTTTCTTATTTTTTCTTATTATTATTATTACTTTTTTTTCAATTTGCTGTAATACAACCTGTGTCACTGAGCACAGCAAGCAGGAATAGTAAGGAAATATTGTCCTTCCTGGAGGCAGAGCCTTCCCTGTCATGGATGGTTCATTCCACACTTGTTTATTGATGAAATTAATACAAAGGCCCCATCCTAAATGTCCAGTCAGTTAAATCACCCTCCAAGAGCTTTGTGCACTTCTGGCGAGTCATTCCCATCACCTTGATCTTCAGCTGAAATTCTCATACTAGCAACTTCCAGTCACCTGGCCTTCAGCCAAATTTTCCCATGATGGCATAATTACGTCATCCTCCCCTCAAACCAATTTTTTTCATAATGTGATGGTCATGTCATCTGGATCATAGATGTTGATAGATGAATCAGAATGTATTTCTGATTTTATTAGAACAGTGGATGTTCACTTCTTTTCATTTGTAATATTTCTTTTAGTTTTCTAGTTCATTTTATCTTAAGTAATCTAGTGTTGGAGAAATGTTCATTAAATGAATGAGTAAAAGATCCCAAGAGCAGTTTTAGGAATGGTTGCATATTGGCCTCAAATATAATTGAATTGATTTATGTTGTTCACTTCTGTAGTTTTATTTTAGTGTTCAATTTTAGAAATCCTGTACGTGTGCATGTTAGTTGTTGTTTTTTAATTCTATTTTCTAGAAGGAAAGCATATACCATGCTGATTAATGCTTTTAGCAAACTTATCATTCTCCTTTGACAAATACTTTCTGGTCTTTTATAAGATTTATAAAATTTATAAGATTTTTCCACTTTTAGTGGAATATGAGGGAATGATTTTATCAAAAATTATCCTGTATCTCAGATCATATATAATTTTTTTTAGTATATACTCTCTGTCCTGTCAAATTTCTTTTTTAATGACTAGGCTTATTCTTTGATACTAAGATCCTAAGCCTAAGCCTTTACTGAAATGGGCTTTCGACTTTTGTGCTAACTTGCATCATAGTAACACCTTGGCAAGCATTATTTTTCTCGTGTTTGCTTTTTACTTACTTTTTTTTAAGTATGTAGTAACAAAAACTAATCATTCTAGCTTTTTTCCCTCTACAAGGATATATATTTTGTTCAGTACGGTTATTTAGAACATAATTTTTTTCAGATGCCAGTCTTTGTTGTGGGGACAAAGCAAGACCAGATAGCTGAGGTGAGAACGTCTGTCCGAGTTCGCACCTCTTCTATCGCTGATGAGTGTGCAGCTGATGAAATAAGTGTGGTATGTGAGGTTATCAGTATATAAAGTATTTTTATGTCTGAATAGGCTTTTGGATAAAAAGGGATGAAAGAGAATAAATAATTTCACTGTGTTAGGTAAGTCATTTAATGTTTTGATGCTTACATCATACAGTTGCAAACTATTGAAATGTTACTATAAAATCTTTCATTGGAATTTTGCTCAATCTCAGTCATACCTTTTTTCACATATGTCATGATGAATTCTGGTAATAGTTTTTCCCTCACTTTGGATACTTATTTTTGCTAGTAATTGATCAGAGTCACTGTTTTAAGTGTTTTATATATGATTATATATATATCACTGTTTTATGTATTATTATAGATGGGATAAGGCAATGAATATTACCAGACCTGAATAGAAGATTAGCTTGTTGGAAATTTTATTGTTTTAGAGAAAAGAAGAGAGGAGGAAAGAGAAACACTTGGTACAAATAAGATCAGAGATTGAAAAAAGAGCAATAGTAAAATCATCCATGATAGAATACAAAATAGGATTTGTAGCAAAATTAGTTGCAAAAACAGATATAATGTAAATTTATTCCCCTGTTGTGTCCATAAAAAATATGTATAATTTTATGATAATATTTTTTTTCAGAATTACCATATCAGTCTTATAAATTCTGCAAGTGTTACAATGAATATTCTGACTTTAACAGTGAAATGGTGCTGGTATATATATTTTTTTGCCTTGTGAAATCAGTCTCTTTAGTACCTTTCTCAACAATAAGACCTCATTTATTGTTCATTTTCATTAGCCATTACATCATTCCAGAATTGCCATGACCAGCGCTCTCTAGCCCCAGGCTCTAGCAACGCTGTCAAGCTCTCTCGTTTCTTCGACAAGGTAATTGAAAGGCAACAGACAACCACCTCAAGGGCAGAGCCAGCTGGCATCTCCTTCCTGGAGAGGGAAAATTCCATGTACAGGAGAAACAAGTCTGTGTCCTCCTTTATTGCCAGTAACTGAGAGGGTTTCTTCTATAGGGGTAAATGAACTTAAATGTGCTCATATTTTATTAAAAATCTTTATTTTTATGTATATTGTTATTATTAACCATGTTTGATATTTTTTGTGATTGATGATAGCTAGTGAACTTTTAGAGATATATTACCTGCTTCCCAAAAAAGCAGCAAATGAATCACAAATAACACAGCACTTAAAAATGTTTGTATAATTATATGTGATTGGCCACCATCAAAATTACACATCAGAACAACTGGCTTGTGGAGTCAAAAATGATTAAGAATAATCTTGATAGTATGGCTGAGATATTTGAAAACATGTTTACATGAAACTTTCTAGTTGGGTGATGTCATTGAAATTTTTGTTAACTGAGGAATTTGAAAGTATCAAGTGGATAATCCAACTAAACTTTGATTATTGTTAACCCTTAACCCTTTGTGCTTGGATGGCATTTCTGCTGTGATTTTAGTTTATTGATAGTGTTTACACATAAATAGCTCCATAAAATGATAACGGTATTGATTTTGATAGTATTAGAAAAAAGATTATCCGAAAACTTCAAGTGATGGGGAAATCAGGTAAGGTCATAGGGCCTACTGATTGACTCCTTGGTAGCTGTGGGTGATAAAATGACCAAGTTCAAAGTAGATAGTATACATACCTTACAAAAAAAAAGGGGGTTAAACTGCAACTCGCCTCACAAGAGGCTTGGTCAGCAAACTCTTGAGAGCTTGATGTACATTTCACTATAGCTGATCTGCGGCTTTCCTTGTACAGTAGGGAAAAGTGGTGTATTTTAAGATATTATTTTGATCTATGTGTTGTACAAGTTCTTGGCACCCAGAAGTAAATCTCTAGATTTGAAAAAAAGAAGAAAGGAATGATCTGTCTGGTAGGATTTACAACTTTATGTGTACGTTTTAGGGTTTGCAAGTCATGTATGTAAGAATTGATTTTCTTCCTTATTTTCTTCTGAGTTAATTATCAAAGAAGGATATTATCATTATTGTTATTGTTGTTATTTTGATATGATGCAAGTTGTTCTTCTCAGGTATGGCAGTGTAAATAGAGGCATTATGCAGACTTGATATCAAATATCAATGCATCAGTCATTAAATGATGATAATAAGGAAGTGATGATAATTGTGGTGATTAAGATCATGAAAAAATCATCAAAGATGATATTGCAATAGTCATACTCATAATGAAGATGACAACACAATAACATAGAACAGAATGCGAGTAGTAAGAAGGAGAATAATAGTCATCATGAAAATAACAGTATTACCATTTGCAATATAATTATGGTAATGATAATAAAAATGCAATAGCAGCAAAAATGCCAATGATGATGATGATTATGATTATTAGCCTCATGAACCAGGGTGCTTTGCTTGCCAGCTTGTGGCTTAAAATCAGGGCATTATGCTTGTTTAAGTGGCCAGTCTCACTGGTGTTTGGCATGTAGGCATAGCACACACAAATGCTCATGGGCGGTGTCAAGATTCTGTGCCACCCATTTAGCATGTTATTATCTCTCTTTCAGTATAAATTTTTTTTGCTTTTTTGTTATTTTCCAGTCTAGATTTTTCATTTGATATGCTATATCCAGATTTTAATAGACTGATTTCCGTACACAAACTCCATACCATCTCACTAGGCAGTCAATAACTTAATGCATGGCTCACAGATTTCACACTCTTTTACCAATAAGAATGATACAAGACTTGTTCCGAAAATGCCCACCAAGTCTAATCACCTTTCAGTAGCTTTGTGTAATT